CTGCTGTTTCTGGCGTCGCCTCGCGGCCCAGACCGTACTTCGTTCCCCTCCTGCAGCAGGTTCTTGGTCTTACACCTTCTCCTGGTCCTTCTCCTCCTCCCTTAGAGGGTCCACAGCCTGTCCAGTCACAGTCACAGCTTCAGCCTGCCTCCCCTTTGCCTGCTCCTTCTCCCTACGCTGGTCCGACTGGAGGTCTTACTGAGCGTCGTGAGCCTGCGTCTCGTCCTGCGTCGCCTGTTCGTACTGCGCGCACTAGTGGTCGCGGTTCGCGTCAGCGTCCTCCTCCTGTCCCTGGCACGCACCGGATGTCTCTGCGTCCGTCTACTGCTCCTCTGCGTGCCCCTTTGCCTTCTCCTCCTGCTTCCTCTCTTCCTGCTCTTGCCGACCCGGAGTCGGACTCTCTTCGTGCTGCCAGTGCTACTGTCACGCGTCTCCTTGCTACTGCCGTCACTGACCCTTCTTTCGAGTCTTCTGCTGCGTCTGCCCTTGTCACTGAGCTCGTCGACTTTGCTGCGCGCTGTTGTCTAGACTAAGCTGCTAGTCTTGTCGCTGAGTCTGAGTCTGCCTGTCCTCCGTCCGTCGGGGGTGAGTGTGCCCTCGGCACGGACGTCCTTGAGGACAGGCAGGAGGAGTTCCAGTGTCTGGCCGCCGCTTCACCTCATCTCGCGTCTGTACTGCTCGCCCCTGAGGGAGACCCGGATGCACTAGACATCCTGACTCAGCGCTCTTACGCGGAGGCGATAGAGGGTCCCTACTCCTCTCAGTGGCAGGCAGCTATGGATGCAGAGATGGCTTCCTGGAGGTCCATAGGCACCTACGTTGACGCTGTTCCCCCTCCTGGGGCGAACATCGTCAGTGGCATGTGGATCTTCAGGGTGAAGCGGCCGCCGGGTTCTCCGCCTGTCTTCAAGGCGCGTTACGTGGCTCGTGGCTTCAGTCAGCGGCAGGGAGTTGACTACTTTCAGACCTTCTCTCCCACCCCGAAGATGACCACTCTTCGGGTACTGCTGCACGTTGCTGCTCACCGTGACTACGAGCTGCACTCTCTCGACTTCAGCACTGCTTTCTTGCAGGGCAGCCTGCATGAGGAGATCTGGCTGCGTCGCCCACCTGGCTTCACTGGGTCTTTCCCTCCTGGTACCCAGTGGAGTCTCCGGCGTCCAGTCTACGGTCTCCGCCAGGCGCCACGTGAGTGGCACGACACACTGAGGACTACGCTGGCGGCACTTGGGTTTGCTCCTTCTACTGCCGACCCGTCGCTGTTTCTGCGCACCAACACCTCTCTGCCGCCGTTCTACATCCTCGTGTACGTCGACGACTTGGTCTTTGCCACAGCTGACACTGCTGGACTCACCTACGTGAAGTCCGAGCTGCAGAAGAGACACACGTGCACTGACCTGGGTGAACTGCGCAGCTACCTTGGCTTGCAGATCACCCGGGACAGAGCACGCCGCACCATTACCCTGACTCAGTCACACATGGTGCAGCAGGTCCTTTAGCGCTTCGGCTACACGTACTCCTCGCCTCAGGCCACTCCTCTGCCTACTCGCCACTCGCTCTCAGCTCTGCCTTCGGATGAGTCCGTAGAGTCGAGTGGCCCGTATGCAGAGCTTGTTGGCTGCCTCATGTACCTGATGACCTGCACACGACCTGACCTTGCATACCCTCTTAGCATTCTTGCACGCTATGTTGCTCCCGGGAGACACCGACCAGAGCACATGGCTGCAGCGAAGAGGGTGTTGCGCTACTTGTGCAGTACGTCGGGCATGGGGCTAGTGCTTGGAGGGCGCAGTCCAGTGGTCCTCACTGGGCACGCAGACGCTTCTTGGGCTGACGACCAGGCTACGCAGTGGTCGTCACAGGGTTACACCTTCAGCCTTGGTTCCGGCTCTGTTTCGTGGCGGGCTACCCGCTCGTCTTCTGTCCTCGGCTCCAGTTGTGAGGCTGAGATCTACGCCGGGGCTATGGCTGCCCAGGAGCTTCGCTGGCTCACCTACCTGCTGACCGACCTTGGAGAGCCGCCTCGTTCTCCTCCAGTCCTGTACGTAGACAACAAGGCCATGCTGGCCTTGTGTCGAGAGCAGCGACTGGAGCACAGGACAAAGCACATTGCTCTCCGCTACTTTCTTGCTCGTGAGCTACAGCAGCGTGGACAGTTGCGACTTGCGTACGTGGCCTCTGAGGCCAACACTGCTGATGTCTTCACCAAGGCAATTGCGCCTTGTGATCATCAGCGCTGCTGCACGCAGCTGGGTCTTGTGCCTGTCTTGCCTCACTTGCTCACTTCTTGACCTTGCTTGTACCTTCACCTATATATACTCTTGCCCTTGCTTGCTTGACTCTTGTTTATCTCTGTATATGATCTTGCATGTGGACTGGCCTTCTGGCCTTTGAACTTGTGCTCGGAATGTGTGGTGACTTTGTGATCCACCCTGAGCTTTGCTTTGCTTTGCTTGACTGGTCTTGTGACCCCTTGTTCTCCCCCACTTTGCCTATGGGGGTGTGTCAGAACATATAGCTTAGTTATTTGTGTAGGCTATAGTGGGGTATCCCATAGGGGGTACAACCCAATTAGGGTTTCCTATTTGTACTCACTTCGTTCATAGTCATTTCATTCTCGTTCTATTCTTCTCAGCATTGCTGTCAGACTGAATCTCGCCCTTTTCCCTCTCGATAGCTACATAACTACCCGCAACCTGCCAGCAACCTTCGTTCTTCGTGCGATGGATGTAGTCTCTATTCCCGCCATAAAAGAAAGGGAAAGTATATCCCAGCTCCATAGTTTCAAAAATATCTCAAATTTAGTCTTAATTTTACTAAAAAAGTACAGCTTTCTGGAAGTTTGCTCACGCGAGGCCAAGATTATGTTCAAAACTGGTCCTACGGGGCAAACTTTTCGACACGTTTCCTATTTCTTATTAGCAATCTGATGGGGGCAAAAAACATAAAACCCCTAGGGGAACCAGGACACACGTTCGGGAAGGACCAACCCTAAACACGGGGACCCGCTTGGTGTTTAGGGTTGATCCCTCCCGCAAATGTGCCCTAGGTCCCGAGGGGTTTTATTATTTTTTGCCCCGTCGAAATTTTTTCAAAGCGAAATTGGACACGTGTCGAAAACTTCGCCCCGCAGGACCAGTTTTGAACATACTTTGGGCCTCGCGTGAGCGAAATTCTAGGAAGTAGTACTTTTTGAGTAAACCCGCGGCTAAATTTGAGAGAAATCTGAAAGTATGGACCTGGAATATAGTTTCCCGAAAAGAAACGTCGTCGCTGCTTTAGGCGCTGAGCTTTCCTGCTGCATTCGCCAGAATCGCAACGTCGTCGCTGCTTTAGGCGCTGAGCTATACTGCTGCATCCGCCAGAATCGCATCGTCGTCGCTGCTTTAGGCGCTGAGCTTTCCTGCTGCATCCGCCAGAATCGCAACGTCGTCGCTGCTTTAGGCGCTGAGCTATACTGCTGCATCCGCCAGAATCGCAACGTCGTCGCTGCTTTAGGCGCTGAGCTTTCCTGCTGCATCCGCCAGAATCGCAACGTCGTCGCTGCTTTATGCGCTGAGCTTTCCTGCTGCATCCGCCACAATCGCAACGTCGTCGCTGCTTTAAACTCTGAGCTTTCCTGCTGCGTCCGCCAGAATCGCAACGTCGTCGCTGCTTTAGGCGTCGACGCCTACCATTGGCGGCGTCCGAGAAACATACCTGCTGAATCCGCGTCACCGCAACGTCGCTTTTGTTTTCGTTGTCAACGCAACGTCGCTGCGACGTCCCTGCTGTTTCCGCTAAAAGTGCAGCGTATGAGCGGGCGGTGCAACGTATGAGCGGGCGGTGCAGCGTATGAGCGGGCGGTGCAGCGTATGAGCTGGCGGTGCAGCGTATGAGCGGGCGGTGCAGGGCATGAGCGGGCGGTGCAGCGTATGAGCGTGCGGTGCAGAGTATGAGCGGGCGGTGCAGCGTATGAGCGGGCGGTGCAGCGTATGAGCGGGCGGTGCAGCGTATGAGCGGGCGGTGCAGCGTATGAGCGGGTGGTGCAGGGTATGAGCGGGCTGTGCAGCGTATGAGCGGGCGGTGCAGCGTATGAGCGGGCGGTGCAGCGTATGAGCGGGCGGTGCAGTGTATGAGCGGGCGGTGCAGCGTATGAGCGTGCGGTGCAGCGTATGAGCGGTCGGTGCAGCGTATGAGCGGGCGGTGCAGCGTATGAGCGGGCGGTGCAGCGTATGAGCCGGCGGTGCAGCGTATGAGCGGGCGGTGCAGCGTATGAGCGTGCGGTGCAGTGGATGAGCGTGCGGTGCAGCGTATGAGCGGTCGGTGCAGCGTATGAGCGTGCGGTGCAGCGTATGTGCGTGCGGTGCAGTGTATGTGCGTGCGGTGCAGTGTATGGGCGTGCAGTGCATTGTATGGGCGTGCAGTGCAGTGTATGTGCGCTGCTCTGTGCTGCTCCATGCTCTGTGCTGCGCCATGCTCTGTTCTGTGTGTTTTATATTAGTAGCGTGCTGTGTCCTTGTATAGCGTAGTGACTCGTGTCGTGAGTGAGATTGCCGTACATCAGTTGTGGAGGTGTGATATGCTGTGACATGGTGTGGGATATCGTATGTTTCTGAACTGAGTTATGTAATGTTACATGCAGCTTGGAAGGCTTTTATGATCAGCAGCATTGTAATACAAAGGCATCAAGACCCTTGCGTACAGAGCATCTTATTTGATCCAGGTGTGGTTAATATCAGGAAATACGCTGCGGAGACAACACGCCAGTTAATCCACATCTAACCCTGTCTGTTACCGTTCTACAGTTATTTCAGTTGAAGCTACTTCTGTCAGTGCCCGCCACTACCAGACCTGCAACGCGCTCCGCACTGCACACTCAAGAAACTCCTACCAGTACACATTAGGAGGAATCTGTACACAACCTGCAAAATTGCTTCCTCACTCGATTCACCCATTCACCCATCCACCCATCCATTGGTCCACCCAACCTATCCATCCAACACCTCAGCACCCATCCATCACCGCGCCACGCGCCACACCCCCACGCCCATCATGGGCTGCCCTTTCCACGTCAGCAGCAGGCTGCCCTCATCATCTTCCACGCCAAACTCTGCAGGATACCGTGCCATCACCGTCTCCACCTGCACGCGCGCACGCGCCGGGTACGGCACGGCCGCAAACCCCGCCTCTCCCATACGCCAGTTCCACTTCCCTAGCGGCTCGGACCTCACCACCCGCAACGCCCCCTCGCACGCTATCACGTTCACAAGGTCCCGACCTATCACCACCTGCTCGAAGACATCTCGGGATGCCTGTACGCGCGGGACGAGGCCTGCTTCGAGGGATTCAAACACGGAGAGGTACCAGGGGAGGGCGTCGGCCATGCGGCGCAGGAAGAAGGGTCCGTCGTGGTCCACGTGCCGTTCCCCCAGCACCACTGCGTGCGGGTTCAGCCTGCGGATGGCACGCAGAGCAGCGTCGCGCGGGGAGTGCCGCACCACGGACCCGCTAGGCAGCGTGTGCAAGCGCATGATGCCATTCACCACCAGCACCTCCCCCACTGCTCCCCTCCCCGCTTCCACCGCCGATAACATCTGCCTTGCGTCCGCTGCTCCGGTTATTGGCAGTGTCGCGGACGAGTGGCGCTGGTGCTTGTGGGGCCGGTGCGTGATGCCAGACTGGTTGCTGCACGTGCCATCTCCGCAGCCGCCGCCGCTGCCGCTGCTGTTGCCGCTGCTGCTGCTGAGGCACCTGGCGGCAGCGGTCGGGGAGAGGGGGTCGAGGCCGAGTATACGGCGGTCGAGGCGATCGAGAGAACACTCGACTGCCTGGAAGACCAGGCGGATGCCTGCTGCTGCTGCTGCCCGCTCCAGCATGTCCTGGCAGTGGTCCGTGGGCAGCTGGGAAAAGTTTCGCTCCGGGCACATGGAGGGCGGGGTGTCCACCTGGGAGCAAGGGAGAAAGATAGGGGGGGAAGAGAAGTTTTTGAGTTGGTGGAGTTTGCACACTGAACGGATTGGGAGGTGGCATGCATGCAGGTGAGAGGGGTATGCAGGGATGAAGACCACAGAGTAGCAAGGAGACAGAGCAGAGTGGAAAGGGCAAAGGGAAGAGGGCAAAGGGCAGAGGGCAGAGGGCAGAAAGCGCCAAGCACTGAGCGTTGAGCACTGATGACTACCTTGGTGAACTTGAGAAGGGGCTTGGGGCCTGGGAGAGTCCCGAGCGCGGCAATGAAGCCGGGCCACTGGCCGGCGAACCACCATCCAATGTCCACCACATGCACGACGGGGTGGTTCCGCACTGCCTCCACTATTGCTGCATTGCACGCCATGACCATGAAGCGATGGTGCGGCATCACAAATGAGAGGTCTGCCATCTTGCTTAACACGTCCTGAGAGGGCAAATGAGGGAGGGAGAGTGGGAGACGCCAAGGTAGAGGGCAGATGGGGAGGGAGAGGGATGGGGGGTGGAGAGGTGACGGAAGGAGGGCAGATGAAAGGAGAGAAAACGGAACGAAGGTGGTTGTTCGTGATTGGTGCAAAACACGTCGTGACACGCACGCACTCACCTCGCTGACGGACAGGGCAGTGTTGGTGTTCCAGCGCTTGGCCCCGTCCCCCATGACACGTGCAATGAGCCCCTCCAACACATAGTGCACCAGCCGCTGCTCCGGTGCCCCCCGCCTGTCTGCGTGCAGCCGTAGCTCCTCCGCCAAACTCCATATGCGCGTCTGAGACACACACGGCGCAGGGCGAGACAGCAGCGCGTGGGGAAGCAGGAGTGAGGGTGGGGAGTGGGGGGGAGAAAGAGACAAGTTGAGTAAAGAAGACGCGAAATGTCTGTCTGCATCGTCCAGGCATCCCACCCCGTGCCCTCCCACCCCCATGCCTGTCACCCACGCATCCACCCATCCACCCACCCACCCGCGCACCCACCCACCAACCTGCACACCCGGCCACGCACGCACCTCATCCTCGCCAGTGGCGACGGCCTCGCCGAGAATGAGCAGTCGCTCCATCACAGGGTGGCTCAGAGGCGCCCTGCCTACACTGCCACCGCTGCCAGCACTGCCACCACTGCCAGTGCTGCCGCCCGCTCTTGCTCGCACCCGCCCCCCTGCTCCCCGAAACTGCACCACCTGCTGCCGGATCTCTTCTCTCTCCTCCTCCTCGCCCCGCCTCTTCTGCTCCTGCTGCTGCTCCCGCTGCTGATGCTGCACATTTTGCTGCTGCCGGTCGTGTTGCTGCTGTGGTTGTTGCTGCTGCTGTTGCTGCTGCAGTCGCTGCTGCAACTGCTCCTGTAGAGGAAGCGAAGAACCACGGGTGTGCCATCCACTCCCCCGTAACTGCACCGCATCCCTCTCAACCCCTCCTCTGCTCCCTCCATCTGCTCCTGATCGCCGCTCCGCCTCTCCCCCACCCCCACCTGCACGCCCCATGCCTGCTCCTCCCTCCTGCACTGCTCCATGCGCCCTACTGTCCATGGCACCACCACTGCCTAGTTTCCAAAAGTCAAGAGCCACCCCACCACCTACCAACCCTCCCTGCATTGCGCCCACGGCTCCACCCATGGTTCCGCCAATGGTTCCCCCCCCAATGGTTCCGCGCATGGATGCGCCCAGGGCTGCGCCCAGTTCCCCCCCGCTCACAGCCGCAGCTGCAGCCCCCATCGGCGCTTCCCTGGCAGCAGGCGCTACCGCTCCCCATGACAAGCCCCGCCTTACCGCCCCCTCTGCACCCACCAGTCCCAGACCCTGCCCGCCAGACACCTGCCCGCCTAGTCCAAGCATGCCTAGACCTAGCCCGTCTAGTCCCAGACCAGCACTCATGGCAGGCGCTGTGACTGAGACCGGAGGAGAGCCCGCAGGGGGGGAGGAGAAAGCAAACCCGGTGGGTGCTCCGTTGGCATTGGCACCCATCCACGCACTGCCCGCTGAGCCCATCCAAAGGCCCGCTGCACCTGCACCGTCAGTGCCACCAGCAACGCCAGTAAGCCCGTTACCGCCAATACCGCCAGCTCCAGCGCTGCTGCAAGCACCAGAGGAGGCACCTCCAGGCTCGAAGCCGATGCCAAGGGGGAAGGTGGGGGAGTGGTTCGCTGCGCTGCTGCGTGCCGCATGCCCTGTGAACAACAGGCCTGGGCCTGCCACAGGCGACGATGACCCCTGCCGAAACACACCAGGGTTCTGCTGCTGCGGGAATGGGTTGAACACTCCAGACATGGTCGTGAGCCGTTGGAGTGGAGAGGGGCCGTGAAGGCTGGTGATTCTGTCAAATGTGGCCGCCATTTCCTTTTGCTTCCACGATTCCACTGCCTCTATCCATTCCCTCTTCCGCCCTATCGTTGCCATCTCCCTTGCCAGCTCTCTCTCGCGCTCCATCTCCTTCTCCCGTTCCCTCTCCCTCTCCTTCTCACGTTCCCGCTCTCGCTGCCTCTCCCGCTCTCGCTCCCTCTCGCGTTCTCTCTCCATCTCTCGCTCCTTTCGTTCCCTCTCCTGCCTTTCCCGTTCTCGTTTTCTCTCCCGCTCTTGCTCCTCCAACCTCTCGTCATACTCCTCGCCAAGAGCCGCTGCCAGCCTGCGCGCCAGTGAACGTTCTGCCTTTGCCGCTGGTGCCGCTGCGTCTGCTGCTACTGCTGCTGGCGCTACTGGGGCTGTTGTTGGTGCTGCTGCGCCTTGGCCTATGTTCACGTCTTTGATTTCTGCATCTCTACATGCGCCACCCGGCCCAAGCGCAGCAGCCTGAGCACCTGCTACCGCTGATGGCACCGACATTACTGGAAAAGACGACGCTGCTTCTGTCGCCGCAACCATTGCCGTCCTTACACCTGTTTCCATTTCTGCTGCTTCCACCTCTGCTCCTCCTGCTGCTCCTGCTACAGGTGTACCCGGTGCCTCTTCTCCGCTCCTATCACCACCACCCTCCGCAAGATCCGCTCTGCCCACCCCACACGCACCCCCACCCACCCCCGCACCGCCACCCGCACCCGCCTCTGGCGCCGTAGTCGCGTTGCCGCTTAGTGCAGGCACCCCGTCCAATTCGTCTTCCCCGCCTAACCCTAGCTGCGCCAACGCCCCCGCCGCTCCCCCGGTCGGCGCCTCTCTCCCCGCGCCATGCAGCCACCATTCCCCCTCCCCAGCGGCAATGGCGGAGTCGAGCCACGCGGCAGCGGCGGCGGCGGCGACGGGGGTAGTGCCCTCAGGACCCCCCCAAGGCCTGCTGCCCACCGTTGAAAGCGGAGGGCTGCTGCCGAAACCCGCGGGTTGAGCGGCGGGGAGCAAGGCACCATTGGCGGCGGATCCGCCGGCGGCGGCGACGGCAGGGAGGCCGTCGGTACCAGTCACGGTAGCGGCGACAGCTGCTTCATCGGTTAAGAGGGATGAGAAGGGCTCGTCCCAGAAGCCTATGGGGTCCCACTGCCATGCAGACGACGGCGGTGCGAGAGGGACCTGCACGTGAGGGAGTGAGAGAGGGAGTGAGTGAGAGAGAGAAAGAGAGAGAGAGAGAGAGAGAGAGAGAGAGAGAGAGAGAGAGAGAGAGAGAGAGAGAGAGTATGATTGGACTGTATGTGCTTTCTCTATCCTTGTGCATGTCTGTACTTGCTTAGATCTAATACACGGACCGCTTGAGAGAGAGTTCTCTAGCCTGAAAAAAAAAAGTTTTTTTTTTTTTTTCACTTCTCACGCGCCCGCGAACTACATTTCATGTGAAATCAATTGCCATTTACCTGCTGCTGCTGCTGCTGTTGCGATTGTGGCTGCTGCTGACCCCGCGACATGTCCATTCAGCAAGTTAGAACAATGCTAGTTCGACAGGAGTTAGGACTAAGACCACCAGAACCAGTATATATACGATCCTGAAACACCTAATAACGGATTTGACGAGAGACAAATTCCAGAATGTTCAAGGAGTATCTCAAGACTCTCTTGCTTCTCCAAGACTGAGTCAGTCTCAACGATCACTCTCGGGATCTGAGGCTGTGCTGGGAGAAACCAACGGTGAAGGAGTGCAACCCTTTGCTGACTGCCACTGTACAGTGAAGCAAGCATCCTTCGCCTCCTGGGCGATGTTCGGCTGCCACAGAGCATCGACCGAGGGATGGGGGGAGGGATCAGATTTGCAGCTAGGGTTTCTAGTTCGGGGTGGTCAGCTCGGAGTCAACCGTCGTTGACTCCAAGTCTGGAGTCCAGGCGGAAGCGGAAAGTTTGGGGGAAAAGGCGCGGAGGAGCGACTCGGGAAATGGGGGACCACGAAACTGCAGCCGCGCGAAACGAAACTTCGCGAGCTGAACAGTTTATAACTGCGATTTGTTTGGGTAGCTTGCTCTACTTGAATTCTGTACACCATAAATTAATTCAAGGGTGTAAATGACGATTCGACCTTATTTAATTTTGGCGAGTTCATTTCGAATCTTTGTGTTTAGCATTATAGTTTTAATGTCCGGGCTATTTGTTTTTTAGAGTGTGGAGTAAATGTATAAACGAAAATTGTGGAAGGGGGCATGGATTTTTCATTCCCCGTGGGCTGAGACCACCCACGGGAATGCACTTTCCATGCCCTGAACACTAGGGCGGAGTTTTTCCGCCATGGGGGGGGAATCGGGGGGAGGACGCGGCGCGGGCTCAAGCCTAGCGCGGGGTTCGCGTCGCGTTTTAGGCTCACGTCCGACACCTTTTTCACAATTTTCATGTCTGACCGAAGTGTTCTGCCTGGTTCGAACAGATCGAACCAGGAGGCTCGGCGTTCTGATGCTCCATCCTATCCCCTCCCCCCATCCCCTGTGGCAGCCGAACATCGCCCTGCTAGGAGTCGCAAAGCCCACCTAGACGTAGAAAGAAACACCTGCTGGTGGTGATACACAACCGTGCGTAGGAGAGTGCGGTGTGAGTGGTCCTCTTAGGGCGACGTCAGGTTGTACAACTTCTGTACGCTCAATTCCGTTTCTTCACGGTGCAAAACGGTAAAGCTTGAGAACCACTTCCCACCGTGTGGAACTGTCCTCAGCCACGATACAAGAACTGCAAATGTGCTGAGAAATGTACAACCTGACGTCGCCCTTAGAAGGGATGAATGTGATGTATGAAGGCGGTGAGGTGGATTTCGTTGAGTGGTGGTAACATAAATGGGCAGGTGATATTCGTATTCTAAACTTAGCAGGGTTGAAATCGGTGGGCAATGGTCTAAATTGCTGACAACAAATCATAGTTTCTGACCGTGCTGTACCATTTTGGATCGCGTCAAATTTACCTTAGGTGAATAATCCAAGATCCAAGATCTGCCCTTAGCGAGCAGTAGTCTGCCACCCTCATGAGCCACCGCTATCCCGTCTTCTCAAGCTCGTTCGATTTGATGCGCTGGACACTTCGCCAGTCACTGCCCACATGCGACAGCATAGCCATCTTGGACTGTGGGACAATAAATACTGTATATTGTGTGACATACACCTGATGCTCGTTAGAGTCCCCCACACTTGGGTCTTCCTCTGGGCTTATAAGTGATTTTGGCATTTCGCCCAGTTCGTCAAGTTCGCCGAGACTGCCAAGTGCTTTTATCTGACACTGGTTGTAACACGTTTGTTTCATTCTGCACAGTACAGGGTGGACTTACTTGTTGTTTGTTGGTGGACCTGGTTACCACTGCAATTTCTTTAAAACAATGCAACCCATTACAACACATCACCCATCTCATCACAAACAACATCTCTCCCTCACACAGAACACGATCCAGCCCAACCCCGGCGATTAACAACCCACACCTGTGTAATGCAATGTTAACATTGATTGCAACTACCTGATGTCAATGTGCACGAGTCTTGCACATTTACAGCACCGTAACGAAATCAACACAAGGGGATATCAACCCCCCTCACAGCCTCATCCACTCGGCCGCATCCAGGAACCCGCCCATCACGGCGGGCGCCCCTGCTTCAATGAGCTCCTGGCGGCGTGCCGCCTGCTGAGCCAAAGTGACCCAACGCGGGGTAGGCGCCGTCATCCACGCCGGCAGCACACGCCCACGGCGGCGAGGGGTCTCCGCCGGCGGGGTGGAGCCGACGGGCGTGGTGGGAGGTGGGGTCTGGTTCAGATTGAGCGGCGGACTTGCGCGCTCCATCCGGGCCCTGATGGTGGGGTTGCGGATGTCGAACAGCGCGCAGAGGTCACGCGGGGTGATGCCCGTCGCCTTCGCGTAGCCGATGAGCATTTCGCTCGCGGCACGCGCGTAGCGCCGTGCTTCACGGCACGCCGGATTGCCGTCGTCATAGACAGCCTGCATAGTCGTGGGAGCCTCCCACATCTCTGGCGCCCTCTCATTCGGCGGCTCCATCGCCAGCGGGTCCTCACCCGGCTCGGCGCAAGTCGGCTGATTGTCGTCGACGCGCACGAACTCCGCGGCCGGCATCGCCGAAGGGCCAAGGCCAAGGCGATCGATGAGGATCCCCACATCGCCCACTGCCTCGTCGAGCTCTGGGAGACCGCAGTTGCCGCCGCCGGCGCCGTTGCCGCCTGCGCAGCCGTGTCGGACGTGCTCAAGCTGCATCTCCCACGCACGCGGCAGGCACTCGGTGCGCCACCAGGAGCGCTGAATCGTGCGGCGCTCGATGTTCATCCAAGCGTCCAGCAACCAGGCCAGGACGTTGCGAAGGTTCAGCTTGTACCTCGCCATCGCAGACGTGGCCCCGTTCTCGGCCCACTGCGCAGTGAAGGCGCTGAGCCAATGCGCACGGTACCGCGCCTTGGCCGTCGCAATGATCCCCTGATCCAGGGGCTGGGTGAAACATGTAGTGTTAGGAGGCAGGTAGACGATGCGGAGATTACTGAGCTTGCGCGTGCGGAATCCGAACATGTCCTCCGTGTCGGCTCCTTCGGACTTGAGGACATGGCTGCTAGCATTGTCCATGAGGATGACAATGCTTCTCTCCTCGGCGTACATGGCGGCATTTAGTTGCTCCATGAAGTGAGTGAAGACCTGCACGAAATCGGGCTGCGGGACAAAGAAGTGAGTGAATAATGTGAAAGGTAAAACGAGTGACGAATAAACATACTACTCATTCGACTTACCTCGGTCGTCATCCATCCCTTCGACGAAGTGCGCCAGTAGCACACCTCGTCAGGGTTGTAGTCGGGGCGGAAGTCGTGGGGCCTCTTGGCCTTTGATATGACCAAGGGGCGGAACGAATGAGAACCGTCGGCATTGACGAGGAGGCCGACGGTAAGGCGGTCCTTCGGGATTTTCCGTCCGGCCACGCGCCGATTGCCGTAAGATTTTCGGGGCAACACAGAGATGTACAGCGCAGTTTCGTCGAAGTTGTACGTATCCCTGGCGGATATCGACAGATGCATCAGCAGCTGCGGAAGCTTCTCACGCGTCGTGCGCACGGGGGCCATGTCCTGGTCCGCCGCCTCTCCCACGGCGCTCAGGCAGCGGACGCCCTGGCGACGCAACGCACGGCGTACCCAGCCGACGGAGCACCGGAACTCCGGCGGGACGCCGTCTATGTCGCGGGCCATGTTCGCGACGTGATCGCGGATGGTCGCAAGCGTGAGGGGAACGCCGGCCGGCCCCGCATTGGCAATCCAAGCGGCCATTGCGCGCTCAAGTGCGGGGTGTGCGCCGCCCCGCACACGGACCCTGTTACTGTTCGTCGCCGTTGCAGACCATCGTTCCGCGCCTTTCAGAACGCGCCCGATCGTCGACCGGTCGGGCCTAACACCGAAGCGGGTAAAACACCAGCGCGCAAGGTCGACGTGGCGCAGCTGGGGGTTTGCGACATGGTGGGCACAGATAGCCCGCTTGATATGAACGGCGAGCTGCGAACGGTGGTAAAGACGAGGCATGGCTAGATTCGGAGGTGAAGAGCTACTGGTGTCGAGTGGAATTCATCAGCACTTTATGGCCGCAGGTGAGCTCTGGTCACCTTGGTGCGAGGAGATGGTTTAGCTTTAGGCGAGGATTGCGAAATAGCAAGTGCATGGCATGCATTCACCCGTGAAATTTGGCAGGGGTAGACCCTGTTACCTCAACCACAGGCTGTGACGTGGGCAGGTTGAGCATCGGATGGTTCAGAAGGGGTATGTACCGTGTTGGGGCAAGGTACACGTGGAGTGGTGAACCTTGCTCAAATCTGTTTGAGGCACCATGAACCCGCCTACGTGGCGACCAGTCAAAGACGAATGTGTTTGCGAACCCAACTGTGTTTCGTTCATAACTTTCGCGCAGTTTGAATCGGGTCAACATTACGAGCGGGAACCATGGTTCACAGGCTTTGTCATGTGCTACACGTCCCCGATCTGGCGTCTTCCAGACAGTTGCCCACTTGTTGAACGGGCTTATAGGTGGGGTGCAACCGGCTGGTAAAAAAACCTCGGGTGCAGAGTTTCTAATACGGGCAGTGCAGATTCGCGTGCAGTGGTTGGGCATCGTGTGTATCATAAGGCGGCAGTTTGAGGGGCAGCAGCAGAAATAATGGAAACCACCTTATTTTCCCGTTATCCGAATTTGTGGAATGACTAGATTTCGTCTGCACTGTTCTTCCAAGAACCTTATCGGGCTGACGAGGGAGCTAGGGAACGCGACCTACGAGTCTTTGAATATGTTTACGTATATTGGTACTAAGAAAAATCACAAACTTGTAATCACAATCCTGGTGGTGGGTGATATCCGCATAACGATTTACTCCATATCCTGGCCAATGGAGGATGCTGTTTTGGCGGGGGAAGTCTGCAACCTTGCCTCGTTGTTCTGACGCGGGTTGCCTGATTGGTTGGGCGAGGGGTCGCAACCCCCAACACTGGGGTGGAGCTTGCTCCGAAGATTTTTATGGGCAGGACGGAAAATCGTCTCCATGCCGAGCAGGCTGCAGCCAATCGCAGTTGGGCTGGATGCCAACTATTGGGTAATTGAGACGAAAGCGATGTTCGCTTTGCTGCCCCCGAGCCGTGCCCATCTACCAGTTCGTCTCGGTCGGATCGGAAAACAATCAGGGGTCAGTCAAAGAGTGGTCAGGTCATTCAACCTCACCCTCTCCCTCACCAGAGTGTGCTGCTCTTTCTCTCCGCTCCGCTCCAGCCCAGTTGTCTGCTGCACTCGTGCGTGTTTTGACTGCTCCAGGATCCTCCTCGTGCGGAACGTTTTCCACTTCACTTGCTTTGTGCGCATAACGTCTCCTGACTCTAGTCACCTTACCTTGCTTCTTACTCGCTGTCAGTTGCAAGTTCACCTTGTACAATTCAAGGGTGAGTTCTCTCAGTCCGCTCGACGACATATCTTGGTTCTGACTAGACTCGGTCATTCATCACGGTATCTACAGACGCGTAGTGGGGTGTTTAGATCCTGCCCTTTGTCAAGGGAGTTAATTTCCCTTCTTACTACCTCGCTCTGTCAGTCCGCACTATGTACTGCTCCAGAATTCCGCCAGAGGCGCAGTAATTGTAACCCTCCATGGCTTTCTCTGCGCCAATTGTCGGGTCATGGTAACCCTTTTTCAAGTTCCCCGGCTTCCCATCGCGAAACCGTACTTTCTGCCCTCATGGAGTCTGCAATAGCTGGCGTCACCACAATCAGTCCGGCCTTCAGACTAGGTACTTGCGCAATTGCGACGTCGTTGGACCGTTCGACGCCGAGGAGGTTGTCTGGTGGCCTTGCTCGCTTCCCGCACGTCAATTCGTTTCGTCTCTCCTCACCTTCAACTCCTTCAAGACGTGGCTATCGCCGTGTAAGCTCCGTCTCGGTTCCGCGTAGGCGTGAAGTCGGGGATTCCGGGGAGTTGCCGCATGGAGATGGCACCCGTGCCGTCGTTCTAGCGAAGGTTGTGCGGAAATCCGGGTGGGATAGGTTCCACAGCGTGAGCGTGGCACCCGCGGCATGGCGAAAGCTGGAATCCCGGCAATTGTTTCGACTCGGGAGTCCAGACAACACGGGGGTTAGATCCCGGCAATTTTTAAGCCAAATCCGAAAGGTTCGAGCTAGCGGCTTCCACGGAGGATCAGACGAAAGCACCAGTGGAGGTTCGGACGATGAATTGGTGTTTGAGGAGAGGGGTGCAATTGGCGGCACTGACGGGAACCAAGTAGCGGCCAATTGGGCCACCAACAATCGCGGCGGCAGCAGCAGCAGCAGCAGCAGGTCTGAAAGCGGCGGGGGACGTATTGAGTCAAAACACTCGAATGGGAATTTCTTTGAAAAGAAGTCGCAAGGCGCGACAGCCGAGAGCAGCGCCAACGACGGGACGGCTGGCGCGCGTGCAGCTGCGGAAGCACCCGGGGCGGAGTGGAAGGACAAGGACAGTAAAGCGTCGCGATTGCCTGCTGGAGTTGCGAGAGGCGCGGGAGAAGCACAGGTGGAAGCTCTGGATTCAGACGGTTCTAGAGCACGCCATGCGGCGCATGGGACGGTGGGAAGCGGCGCAGAGTGGTTAGGAAGTGTGGAAGGAGTCGTTAGCGTGGCGGCGATGAACGCGATGGATGGAGCAGGCTTCGAGGATGCGAGCACCCTGACGCTAGAGGCCAATGCCTGGGAGGGGGATGCTTTGGGCGGAGTGGAAAGGGAGCAGCCATGGGTTGCAGAGGGCGAGCTTGATGAGAGCATGGAATTGGCATTGCCTGGGGATGGGGAAGCGGACGGAGAGGCAGAAGGCAGTCGTATGGACGCAGCAGACGGAGGGGGAGGAGGGCTGGAAAACGAGGAGGACGGGGCTCGCTGGGGAGCTGCGGGGTCGTTTCCGGGCGCGGGGATAGCGGCGCGGGTGATGGAGGTGGAGTGGGAGGACGTGGCTCGCACGGCAGTGCGGCGCGCCGTGCTGCTGTTCGTCATTGCGCGCCACTTCGTCGCGTTCATGCTCACGTCCGCCGCCGCGCTGCCCGGGCAACTGCGACGAGCCTGGTGGCCGGATGACGCGCCTGGGGTCGCGCAGGCAGGGGGAGCGAGCGGAGCAAGAGGCAGCGGAGCTCCGGGTGGTGGTGGTGATGGTGGAAGGGCGGATTTGCATGGGTGGGACTTGGATGTCCGCGCTGGTGTGGGGGTTGGTGGTGCCAGTGGAAACATCGCCAGCAGACGCAGGAGCAGGGGCAGCAGCAGGAGGAGCAGGAGTGGCAGGGCTACTGAGGGGATGCACGTCGGCTCTCAACAATCCCATGTCACAAGCATGCCTTCACCAGCGGTCGCCTCTGGCTCTGACGATGAACGAATTCCAGTCAGCTCAGAGGGTCCTGCGCGTACAGGCACCATCGACCGCAGTCACTCTCATGCATCCGCAGCTGCTGATTCCCACAGCCTATTTCCGTTGCCGGAGAATCGTGTTTCTGTTGGAGAGCCCGCTTCTTCCTCGTCTTCCTCTGCTCGCGGTAATTTCGCTGCTAGCCCGTTGTCGCGTCCTGAGGATCCCGCCTCTCCACCTTCTCTATTTCCACAAATGGCGGCAGCTGCAGCAACCGCGGCAGCAGCAGAGCCGGCGAGGGAGGCTCCCTCGCATTCAGGAAATGCTGTGGGTGGAGGTGAGAGGAGTGGCCAGGAGACGCTGAATGGTTCCGCAAGGGGAAGAGCTGTAGGAGCAGCAGCAAAAGCTGCTGCTGCTGCAGCAGGAAGAGGAGGAGCAGGAGGAGGTGGTGAGAGTGAGGCGGATAAGGTGTTTGCAGCAGCAGAGGCGGAGGGGAAGAGTCCGCAGCAGCTGTTTTCAAAAGAAGCAAGGGTGGGGAAGGTCGTCCCTGGTGGTGGTGAGAGCAGCACCACCGCTGCCGGAGAGGCTGAAGACTTATCGAAAGAGGGGGGGAAGGGGCCGAAAGGGATGGGAGCTGACGACCCAGCAGGTGCACCAGCAGACGGTGCAGCAGGTGCAGCCGAAGCCGCAGCAGCCGCAGCAACAGCAGCAGGAGAGAGGAGGCGCGCGCGGGGCAAGGGGAGGCCAAAGCGAGCAGGAGCAGGAGCGAGCGCGGGCGCGGGAGCAGCAGGGCGAGTGGAGGAGGACGATCCGTGGGACGTGGTGAAGCGGTTCTGGAGCCAGCCAGCAGTGGTGAAGCTGCGCATGTCCATCACCATGGCCAACCTCACCATGGGCCTCCCCACCTTCCTCGCTCACGTACTGCCCTCGCTGCGCCATGTAGGGGGCGGGGGGTAGGGGCGCGGGGGTGTGGGGGAGTGGGTGGTTCGGGGGTGTAGGGGAGGCAGTGGATGCAGCGGGGCTTGCTACACCTTGTTTTCTTTTTCCCCTCCCCATCAACTTGCTCTTGTACGTCTGCAACACCCTTCTCTCACTCCCCTCGTCGCTCGCTCAGCGTCCCACTTGCCTTCTCTCTCTTCCTCCCATGTTTGTAATTGATTTCCCCCTGGCAGGTGCGGTGGCACATGGTGCCGCTACTGCACGACCTGTCGCTGCCCATGCTAGCGCCCATTCTCTTTGGCTCGGGCATTGTCTTTAAGTCCGTGGTCAACAACCTTGGCATCGTGCTGCCCCGCCTTGGGTACCGCCCCTGCCCTCCCACCCTGCCCATCCGTTGCTCCCTCGTTCCCATGCTCCCTCGTTCCCATGCTCCCTCGTTCCCATGCTCCCTCGTTCCCATGCTCCCTCGTTCCCATGCTCCCTCGTTCCCATGCTCCCTCGTTCCCATGCTCCCTCGTTCGCATGCTCCCTCGTTCCCATGCTCCCTCGTTCCCATGCTCCCTCGTTCCCATGCTCCCTCGTTCCCATGCTCCCTCGTTCCCATGCTCACTCGTTCCCATGCTCCCTAGTTCGCATGGGTTTGCTGGCCATGGCCCTACCCACGGGCCACACATGCCTTCTGAATCCCTTAGTTCCTCCCCTGCGTCTCCTTTCTGTGTGAGTGTGGGTGTGCGTGCATGTGTGCATGCATGCATGTATGGGTGCGTGTGGATTTCGACATGCCTCTATGGTTGCATGCATGTGTACATGTGTGTGTGTGTGTGTGTGTATGTATGCATGTGTGTGCATGCGTATGTGTATGAGTATGCATGTGTGTGCATGCGTATGTGTATGTGTATGCATGTGTGCTTGCATATGTGTTCGTGCATGGTTCCACACATGGCAGCATAGCAGTGGTGCTGCTGTGGGTGCTGTGGGGGTGCAACTGTGTGTTACAGCGCGCCATCACCAAGACAGCGGAGCGACGCCTAGTGGACCGCAACGTCAAGGATGTGCTAGTGCTCGCTGTTGAGTGAGTCTGCCCTGCCATCCAGTGTCCTTACTTCTGAGGTGCCTCAAATGTTGACGCTAAGTGGACTGCAACGTTAAGGATGTGCTAGTGCTTTCCGTCAAGTGAGTCTGCCCTGCCCATTCTTTAGGCGCCTCACAAACAGCGCCCATTTTTGCTCGTGCTTTCCGTCGAGTGAGTCTGCCCTGTTCAGGGGCCACAGCAACGGCCGGTTAAGACAGAGGCCGTTCATGTGCTCCTGGCCTCCTGACCTCCTCCGCTTATGCTTCTCCCAGGGTGGTTCAGTTCAGTTCAGTCCATCCAGTCCAGTTCAGTCTAGGCGCTTCTCCCATTGCCCACCGCACTTATCGGACTGCTCTTGACCTCCGCGTCCCTGGCTGCCCCTGTTCTCCATCCGTGCAGGATCACAATGACAGCAGCAGCGGTGGTGACAGTCCTCTCCAGGTATATGCTATGCTGCTCACTCATGCAGACCATGAAAGGCCGTGCAGCAGCAGCTTTTTTCTATAGACTCAAATCAGTCTCCACTCCTCGCCCTCTGCTCCCGTTTTGACTGAGTAACTTAGTTTTTTCTGTTCAGGCTCATCATTGCTCCTCTACTGCGGGGGATTTTTGCAAGAAAGCAAAACGGTCACAACCTGGTCTTCTTATCCTCCCTGCCTCTGCTCCCTCCTTCCATGTCCTTCTTTCCCTCCTTCCATGTCCTTCTTTCCCTACTCCGCCAACCGTCACTTGACAGTGTGGGCATCCGCATATCAGCTCTGGTCCTGCCTCTCTTCATTGTCACAGCGCTAGCAGGAAAGGTATGCATTGCTGCTCTGGCTTGCTTGCCTGCCATCAACCACACCTCCCCCCCCACCTCCTGCCCCCCTTCCCCCCGTCTCCCCCCCTTCCCTTTGCTCGTGGTATTTTTTTTCCCTAGCACCACGCTCTGTTGTTCTGCTTGTCACTTTTCGACATTTCGCAACACCTTACAATCGCCCGTTCCAATAATTCGTTTCCATACTCTACTTGCTCCCATTCTACGGCCCCACTGGCTGTATTCTGTCTCTCCCCAAACCCTCAACTCACTAGTCTCTCTAACTGCGACCACATCATCTCTTGATCCCTCAGCACTGCACAGCCTTCAAAATATCTGGCGTGCCTTCCGCTCCTCCCTGCTTCACATCACAGGACCTTTGGCACAACTACTTTGGTGGCTTCTTTCTTTTCGCTGCCCGGCCTTTCCGGGCAGGCGACACATTAGCGCTGCACTGCTCTCTCTCTCCCTCGGCGCCAACCACGCCATCAGACCACGTGTCAGTGGGCACAGGGTGGTTTGAGGGCGTGTGCGAATCAGTCGATCTGCGCTTCACGGTCGTCCGGTCCGGCACGCTCCGTCTCTTTGTGCCCAACGCCCGCTTCCTCTCTCACGAGTTTGTCGTGCTTGACACCTCGCCCCTCAACAAGACGCCGTTCTCTCCTCCACCACCCTCCTCGCCCACCTTCCCCTCTCGCCGGTCGCCTCCCCCCTCCCCTCCTCCAACACCCACATCACACTCCGCTCTCCTCAGTTTCGCCCCGTCTTTCACCCGTCGGAAAGCCACCCCCAGTGGGGACAGGAGCAGAGTTGTCACTTCAGATGCAGGCGGTGCTGCTGGGACACCAGGCGCGAAGGAAGTGGTGACACATCCAGGGGCAGGGACAGGGGCAGGGGCAGGGGCAGGATCAGGGGCGGGGGCAGGTATAGGGGCGGTAAGGAATGCAGAAGAGGAGGCGAGTAGGAGGGCGGGGTCGAACGGAAGCTTGCCTCACCTGCATCGTAACCTGAGCTTGGGAAGGGTGTCTGCTGCTGGTCTCTCCCAACCCCCGCACTCTACCCTCTCCTCCTCGTCTCGTGCCCCACCTTCTCCACCTTCTGCCTGCCGCCCGGTTCCCTCCGATGCACCCGGCAGCAGCAGCAGCAGCACAGGCGTGCGGTTTCACCAGGGTGCTGTACCTGGTGGTGACTGGAGCAGTGGGAATGCAGGGGGTGATGGTGGCAATAGCAGCAGCAGCAGCGGCGGCGGCGGCGACAGCAGTGTGGGTGGTAATGGCGCTGTGAGAAGCAAGCCTGGCGGGTTTGGTGAGAGTGCAGTGGGTAATGATGGAGTGCCGCCAGCACACATGCAGCAGCAGGGGCGAACAGCAGGCAGGCAGACGGCTCGTGAGGGCAATGGGCACGCGGGCATGGGCACGGGCGGTGCGTGGGGCAGTGGGAGGGATGTGATGGGAGAGGCAGGGGCGGGAAGGGCAGGAGAGGATGAGGAGGAGGAGTTGGATGGTGTAGCTGCTACGCTTGCCACTGGTGCGTCTATCAGCCGAGTGATTGGGCGGAGTGAGAGCAGGACTTATGGGAGCAGCAGCAACGGTAACGGCAGCGGCAATGCGAATGGGAATGGCAACGGTAGCAGAACGGTCAAGGATGAGTCTGAGAGCCGAATTTTGGGGGACAGTGACAGTGAGAGTGAGAGCGATGGGGAGGATGACAGTGGGAGTGATAAAGGGTGTGATCCCTGGGAGGAGGACTGTCTTGCTAGCTGGGCAGCACTGGGAGACTTCCCTCCTGGTCCCTTTTCGCCGCCTAAGATGCCTCCACCTCCTCCTTGGGCTCAAGGAGGTAGGTTCAAATTGAAAGGCATGTAGTCTCTCGACTTTTTTTTTTTTTTTTTTCTTTTGTAAGGCTACGCAGAGGGATGTAGTGCCCCATTTTCCTTCTCAGACACTAGTGTAGAAAGATCTCAGCCAGTCATCAGCTGCGAGCTGGAGAATGTGATTTCCACACCGTTTGTACTGTATTCTCCCTTGGTTTTATAGATGTTTTATTATTATTATTGATTTTAGTCTGTTGTATTGCTGTTACGAGTGCAATTGAGTGATCGGACGAGAATTGCACTATCGAAGCAAGAGTACAATGAGCGAAGGCATGAGCGAAGAATATATAGCGAAACTACACTGGTAATGGTAATGCGTGAAAATGGGGTGCGCGACGGGCCTGGCGCCGAGGTTGGGAAATGCGGAGGCGGAGGTCCGGACCGGAGCGCGGGTTACCAACCGAACCGTGAGGTTGGATCGCATCGTGAGCAGCGGCGGGAACAGTGTCGCGAGTGGTAACGGTTTACTGTTGGGTGCTATTGGCGGGAATAGTGGTGTACGCGCTGAGCAGGGACGCGAAGTAAGGAAAAGGAATTTTCCTTACACTACCTACCCCCCCCCCAAGGAGGCCCTCCTTACGAAAGCGTGTGTACATCCTGGAAATTTCGGCTGCGTAGGTACTTGGTGAGGACGGGGTGGTTTTCGATTTTATCCAGAGGAACCCAGTTGTCTTCGGTAGGTGTACAATCCCTCCAGCGGATTAGGAATTCGATCCTTCGGGCTCCTCGTTGGTGACGAACTCGGTGGCTCAGAATCTTCTCGGGCGTGATGAGTGGCTCAGTCGGCGGTCGTGTCATGCTGGCTGGGCGGTTGCGGGGCAGTTGGCTGGTGGATGGTACGTAGGGGCGGAGCAGGCTGACGTGGAAGGACGGGCTGACGTACCAGTCAGCAGGGAGGAGGAGATGGGCGGTGACGGGTGTGATCATGTGGCTGATGCGGAATGGCCCACAATATCGAGGACGGAGTTTTAGGGTAATGGGCAGGCGGAGGTTCGAGGTGTCGTAAAACTAGGTCGTCGGGCTGGTAAGTGACAGGTCGGCGGTGGCGGTCGGCGTTGCGTTTAGCGATAATGTTTGATTTTTTAATCGCGTCTGCTGATCGGGTCCGTGCTGCTTGTAAATTTTTGGCGAACTGTTGCGCTCGTGGCACCGGGTTGTCGGGAGTCGGGGTCATGGGTATTGTCGAGTCTTGTCCGTAGTTCAGGTAAAACTGTGACTGTTGGGTCGTGGCGGATGGCGAGTTGTTGTACGCGAACTTGATGAGTGGCAGCTGCTGTTCCCAGGTGGTTGGATCGTCGCACGTGGTCTGATTTGTCCTTTCTGTCTGTCTGTCGGTCTCAGGGTGGTACGAAGAACTGAACTGTAGCCACGTGCCGAACTGCTGCCACAAGTTCCGCCAGAAGTTGCTGGTGAATTTTGTGTCACGGTCGCTGATGATCGCTGCTGGTATCCCGTGCAGTCGAACGACGGTGGAGATGTAAAGGCGGGCTGTTTCTTCGGCTGTGATTTATTTCTTGCAGGCTGCGAAGTGTGCCATTTTCGTCAGTCGACCGACGATGACCAGGATCCCGTCGTTCCCACTCGCTCCGGCCGGTAACCCCGTGACGAAGTCCATCGTCACCTGCTGCCAAGCACGCTCTGGGGGTGGTATTGGCTGCAACTGTCCTGCCGGCCGTTTCCGTGATGATTTCATGATCTGGCAAGTGGGACACGATGCCACGTGTCGTTGAATGTCGGTCGACATTTCGGACCAGTAATAATACCGCTGCAGCTGCTCCCATGTTTTCTCTACCCCGAAATGCCCTGAGGTAACTCCTTCGTGTGCCTCCTGTAACAGTAATTCCCGTAGCAGTGTGTACCTTGGTACCCAGATGCAGTCGGTCCCGGCTTTTACGTAATAAACTCCCTTAGCTGCTGCAAACTGTTGCGAATTTCCTCCTGTGAAGAATGGATCCGTTTGGTACCCGTGGGTAAATAGTCCTGTCAGTGGTGGGGTGGTCTGGGCAAGTAGTATTGCATGGATCTGGGAAGTGGGGCGGGTCAGTGCGTCAGCGAAGTTCGATGCTGTCAAAAGTTAAGCAAGAAGTTTAGAAGCAGAAAAGAAAGGATTGCACTAGCAAGCAGTTGAGTACATATAGGAAACCCTAAATTGGGTTGTACTCGCTATAGAGTACCCCACTGCAGGCTAGACAAATACAGCATTCTGACACACCCCCATAGCCAAAGTGGGGTGTAATCAGCACAACAAGCATGCAGAGCAATAGTTCACAATGATAAGCAAAGCTAGTGGCTATCACAGAGGGCAAGTGAGGAGGAGGAGAGACTGTGGGGGCGAGAAGATGGGAGGCGACTGGTGAAGCTGTAGACACACAGGAGCTGCTGGCTCAGTGGCTACCGAAGCAAAGGCCCGGACTACAGGAGTAACTGGCTCTGCGGAGATTGTAGCCTCTTGACTGGAACAACTGACCCACACGCGACTGGCGACTACCGGAGATTGTAGCCTCCGGACTACTGGTGCTGCTGGCGACACGACTGCGACCTCCGTTCAACCTCCGCCAACTGCCCCACGCCCCTATCACACACCCCCTGCTGCACCCCTAGCTCCAATCCCACGACACCCCCCTTAAACCCTAAACCCTCGGCTCCCACACACCCACCCCCCTCAGCGGCAGCTGCAGCAGTGGGAGAGGGAGGAGGAGGAGGAGCTGCAGGTTTCCCACACCGGTCACCCCCATGCCCGCCACCCCCAAACCCTAACGCAGGCAGGAGCGCGGGAAGCAGCAGGGACGGTGCACGGAGGGAAAGAGAGGCGGCGAGGGGTCTCCTGGGCGCCACGAAGGAGCAGGGCGCGGCCCCCCAGAGGGCGCCACGGCGGGTGACGGGAGGGGGGGGGGGGCGCGCACGGGCCTGGCGCAGCCCGTACGGGCCGCGCGCGGGCCTGGCGCAGCCCGTACGGGTCGCGCGCGGGCCTGGCGCAGCCCGTACGGGTCGCGCGCGGGCCTGGCGCAGGTCGCGCGGGCTGCGACGGGCGACGGGGGGCGACGCGACGGTCGGCAGGAGGCGACGCGCGGTTCGACGGGGCAGAAAACCACCGCGCGCCCCGAGCGCGCGGCGAGAAGAAAAAAATCGCTGCGCGCCCGGAGCGCGTGGCAGGCAGGAAACAGCACGCGACAGGGGCGCGTTACAGGCAGTAGAGCAGCGGAAGCATCGGGCGGGGCCCACCCACAGGATCAACCCAGGAGGGTCGACCTGCTCTGATACCATGTCGAAAGTTAAGCAAGAAGTTTAGAAGCAGAAAAGAAAGGATTGCACTAGCAAGCAGTTGAGTACATATAGGAAACCCTAAATTGGGATGTACTCGCTATAGATTACCCCACTGTAGGCTAGACAAATACAGCATTCTTACAGATGCCCCCTTTTTGTAGGTGATTGTGTAGTGAAAATTGGACTCAAGGAAATCGAGCCAGCGGATCTGTCGTGGGTTGAGGTGGGGCTTGTCTGAACATATAGCTTGTGCTTATTGTGTAGGCTATAGTGGGGTAGCCCATAAGGGGTACAACCCAATTAGGGTTAGTACTTGTACTCAGTTCATTCATAGTTCATTCATTCTCGTTCTCATTTTCTCATGGTATCGAGCAGGTTCCCTCGTGGGAACTGTTCCTAGGGCCCACCGATCCTCCCTTTTTTTTTCCTGCCCGGGGCGCGTCCTGCCCCTGCCCGAAGCGCGCCTAGGGTCGCGCCCTCCTTAGCGGCCCGTCGCGTCGCCCTTAGCGGCCCGTCGCGTCGCCCTTAGCGGCCCGTCGCGCCGCCCTTACGGCCGCGTCGCGCAGCCCTAACGGCCGCGTCGCGCCGCCCTTTCACAAGCGGCCCGTCGCCGCCCTTTTCCTGCGGCCCGCCGCCCTCAACTGCGGCCCCGCCGCCCTCATCTGCGATGCCGCCGCCCTCAACTGCTGCGGCCCCGCCGCCCTCAACTGCTGCGGCCCCGCCGCCCTCAACTGCTGCGGCCTCGCCGCCCTCAACTGCGGCCTCGCCGCCCTTCTCTGCGGCCCCGCCGCCCTCTGCTGCGGCCCCGCCGCTCTCACCTGCGGCCCCGCCGCTTTCACCCGCGGCCCCGCCACCCTCAAATACTGCGGCCCCGCCGCCCTCAACTGCTGCGGCCCCGCCGCCCTCAATTGTGGCCCCGCCGCCCTCAACTGCTGCGGCCCCGCCGCCCTCACCTGCGGCCCCGCCGCCCTCAACTGCGGCTTCGCCGCCCTCAACTGCTGCGGCCCCGCCGCCCTCAGCTGCTGCGGCCCCGCCGCCCTCAACTGCGGCCGCGCCGCCCTTCTCTGCGGCCCCGCCGCCCTCTGCTGCGGCCCCGCCGCCCTCACCTGCGGCCCCGCCGCTTTCACCTGCGGCCCCGCCCCTCTCGTTGGCGGCCCCGCCGCCCTCACCTGCGGCCCCGTCACCTGCTGCAGCGCCGCCCACCGCCCGGGCTTCCCGATCCGTCCCACCCAGCCGAGCAGCCGACCGCCGCGCCGCCCTGCAGCAGCACCGTCGAGCCGCCCGGGCAACCGAGCAGCCGGACAGCCGGCCGCCGAGCCGCCCAGCAGCCGAGCAGCCGAGCCGCCCTGCAGCCGAGCCGCCCAGCAGCCGAGCCGCCCTGTAGCTGAGCTGCCCAGCCGCCGAGACGCACTGCAGCCGAGCCGCCCAGCCGCCCAGTAGCCGAGCCACCGATCTGCCGAGCCGCCCTACTGCCGAGCCGCTCGAGCTGCCCTGTCCGGTGAGCACAGTGCCTCTTTTTTGCTACACTGCCCTCACCCTACTGTTGCACTGCTAGTCTACTGTGGTCATGGCTACCCCTAGTGTCCTCGATTTTGACGCTGAGGGTCGAGCCATTGACTTTGACGTCTGGGTAGATGACCTGCAGCTGTTCTTACAGTGCGATAGGGCAGACGGTCTCTCTCTCTTTGACCTCACCTCTGGCGCCTCTCCTGCCCCTGCTGCTGATGC